GGGGGGGGGGGGGCACAGGGACATTCACACGTGGGGGGGCACAGGGACATTCACACGTGGGGGGGCACAGGGACATTCACACGGGGGGGGGCACAGGGACATTCACATCTGTGTGTGGGCACAGAGACACGTGTGTGTGGGAATAGACATGGGAGTGAAGGGAACAGGCAGAGCGCGTGTGGGCGCAGGGTCACGCGTGTGTGTGGGAACACACATGGACAGTGCAGGAACATGCCCGGAGCATCTGCGTGGATGCAGGGACATGTGTGTGCGTGGGTGCAGGGACACACGTGTGCATGTGGGCGCGGTGCACCCAGCCCCCGGCGTTCGTGGCTTTGGGTCCCTGCCCCGCTGACCAGAAGGGCCCTTTGGCTGCCCTGAGGGCACGTCCGAGCCTTGCCCAGCCCCGCGGGACGAGCCCGTGCGCACAGTCCCCATCAGCCCTCTGCAGATATTTGGAGAGCTCAGAGACTTGCCCTTGGCCCGAGAGGGCCATGAGCGCCTCGAAGGACCAGGGATGGCACAGCTCTTCGACCTGGCTCTGCCTGGAGGCAAAGCAAACAAGGAAGCACAAACTGCACGGGGCAGGGAGAGAAATGCAGGAGCTGGGTGAAAAGACACACCGTATTTAAAAAAAGAAAAATAGAAAAAGACCCAAACCTAGGTGGCAGATAACCACAGTCAGAGATGAAGGAGGTCCTCGGAAGCGCACCCAACCCAGAGGAGCAACGGCTCTGTGTCTCCCCACATTGCTTGGATGTTCTCATGCTGCAACACAACCTGCTGCCTCCTCGGGATCCCCAGAGGGGTTTGGTGTGGGGAAACTGGGGGAGGCTGAGGCATGACGACCTGGCGACACGGGCCTCGCTGGGGTCCATCCCAACAGAGGACCATCACGCCAACCAGCCGGCGGGGCGGCACCTCTGAGGCACCTAAAAGTCGCCACATTCCCGTGACGTTCAGTGGGGGAAGGACGGGAATCACATCCCCGTGGGGCCTGATGCTCCTCACAATCCCCTCTGGACACGGTGCTGCTCCCCACCACCCTCGGCACCACTGGATGCCTCCAGAGGAGACCCAGAGCTTGACTGATGCCAAGACAAACCACGTTTGGCCATCTCGACCCTTTAACCATTCAGTGCCTGCCCAGTTGTTTAACCAGTGCATCCCATCCAGGCAAGATCTAAAAAACACTGGTCCAAAATGGATATTGGGGTTTTTTCTGCTTTATTTATTTATTTCTAATTTTCCACCCAACTGGGGACGATGTCCTGTTGGATCTGCAGCAGCGGAGGAGTTGCCCAGGCTCCTGGGAAGCGTGATGTGTTTGATGTCTGTCCCGCTTCAGCACAAATGGGGTTTTTCAATGAGGCTTCACTCCTCTATTATTACTTTAATTAATTCTGAAGTGATAACTTTAATTAATTAACTCATTCTAAATTGCTGTGGATTCTGGTTTGAGTAAGTTTCAGGTTTCTTTCTAAAACCTTAGTGCTAAAGAAATCCCCGCACAGATTGCAAAGGGAAAAAAAAATGTAATACTTTTGAGATTTTCCTTGTCGTTTTTAGTTTTGCTTAACTTGTTCCTTAACTCGAAGCAAGGAAGGTGGTGGGTAGTCCCAAGGGTTAATTCAATTTCCCTGCTCCCACTGTTAACCTCCTACCCAGGGGTGGGTTCACATTCCTCTTTGAAGTGTTTAAACATTTCTTAATCCTATTTTCTCTTCTGTTTGCTTGAAAAACAAAGCAGGATGAAAGGGAAATTGCTGCTTTAGTTGGCTGTCTTAAAAAACAACTGTCCTATGCACCCAAAGCCAATATTTACTTCTCAAACACTCTGCGAACACCAACCAAGTTCTCACTGAACTTCCTTTTTGTCGGGATGCATCCCTCCTGAGATTGGAGGAGATGATCCTCGAATATGAACCAGTTTTCTTGGGCCCCTCTTGCCTCCAGGGCTTTATTCTGCGTTACTCTGCCAAGCGGATCCCCGAAGAGGCCGACGTCTGCTCTCCCGAAGTCCAGGGCAGCGAGCTGGCTGTGATCCCTCCTTGCTGCCCTCAGGATCTTGAACTCCCCCATTTCATGGTCCCTGCAGCCAAGGCTGACCTTAAGCTTCACCCCCAACCCAGCCCCTCCGTGTTGGTGAGAACAAGGTCCAGCACAGCACCTCTCCTCTTGACTTCTCTATCACTTTGAAAACGAAGTTTCATCAACACATTCCGGGAACCTCCTGGATTGCTTATGCTCTGCAGTGTTGTCCTTCCGACAGATATCGGGGTGACTGAAGTTCCCTATGAGGACCAGGGCTTGTGAACATGAGGCGGCTCCTCTCTCTCTGTAGAGGGCCTCATCCACTCGGTCCACCTGGTCAGGTGTCTGGAGCAGACCCTCACTATAATGTCCCCTGTCCCTGCCTTCCCTTCACTCTGGAAGCCAGCTCCCTCCCCAGGCAGAGCTCCATACACCACAGCTGGGCACTGACACAGAGGACAACTTGCCCTCTCATCTCCCCTGCCTGAATTTTAGAGGATTTGGCCTACATTCAGTTCCTGGAAAAAGCATTGAGCACAAAGCCAATACTTCTATTTGTAGCTGCCTATAAGATAAGACACCAAGTGTTATCAACAGGTTTGTTGGGATCAACTATCAAGTGAGTAATCAACGGTACAAATACAAACCAGGAATTACTGGCTGGACTCACCACAAGCGGGAAGAACCCGAGGATCAGTATCAAAGCACAACTGGCGGTAGCTCAACAACCCTTGGGTATTGCGAAAAAAACAAACCTCACCTGAGACTTCTGGAACAGGGCGGTCCTCTCGCGTGTGAGATACCTGTGTGTCTGTCATCTTTTCCCAGGAGTCCTGAGGTCTCTGCTGCACAGCAGTGGCTGGGAGTGTGCAGCAGCTTTCAAGAAGGATGTTGGCCAACTGCTGGCCTCCTGGAGACTGGCCAAAAGGGCAGCACTAACAGTTATCTAAGCACGGAAAACAGGACAGAGATGGAGAGATTGAAAATGTCTTCAGTGGGCAAAACGGAAAACTAAGCAAACAGATGAGAACAGTCTTCAAATGCTGAGGTACAGAGCTCATCTGTATTCTCTCCTGTGAAGAGAGGCTGAGAGAGTAGGGGTTGTTCAGCCTGGAGAAGGGAAGGGTCTAGGGACACCTTATTGCGGACTTTCAATAAAAGAAAGGTGGGGACAAACCTTTTAGTAGGGCCTGTTGCGATAGGACAAGAGGTAAGAGTTTTAAGCTAAAAGAGGAGAGATTCAGACTGGGTATAAGGAAGAACATTTTTGCGGTGAGAGTGGTTGCCGAGACAGGTGGTAGATGTGCCGTCCCTGGAAACAATCACAGAGTCATCTGCATTGGAAAAGACCTTGAAGATCATCCAGTCCAACCACTGACCTCACACTGACTGTTCTCAACTCCACCAGATCCCTCAGTGCTGGGTCAACCTGCAACATCCGAGGCCCAGCTGGACGGGGCTCTGAGCAGCCTGACCCGGTTGAAGATGTCCCTGCTTATGGCAGGGAGTTGGACTAGGTGACCTTTAAAGGTCCCTTCCAACTCAAACTGTTCTGTGATTCATCTGCTCTCGGTTGGATGCAGTGTTCTCTTCCACCATACACAGCTCTGATACTGAATGTAATATGGACCTGACTTTAACTTGGACTGATGCGTGTCTTTGAGAGGGCCATGGTCCTCCACAGGCTGAGATTTGTATTTATTCAGGCCTGCTTTTCTGGCCCATCACCTTCAGCTTTCATCTGCTGGACCAGCTGTTGCAAAGGAAAGACTTGCTACCCCTGCCCTCCTTCATCTTCCCTGTGAGTTGTCACCCACTCCTACTCTCCATTTCTGCCAGGGCTCTTGTCTGTCGTCTCCAGAGGGTGCGTCCACACTCTTCCTTAGCGTGGGGAAGACAAAGGAGGTTGTAGACAAAAGACAAAGTCCCTGGGTTGTACAGTCTGAGGAGCACCTCAGAGCTGCACAAACTTTTCTATCCAACACACACTCCCTTGGATGAAAGATATTCCTGTCTGTTAATATTTTGGTTGCTCAGCAGTGAAGTATATTTTCTGTGTTCAGCTGAGCTGCTTTGCACCTGCCCCTGAGCTTCCTAGAGACGACGCTGAGCTATGGTCCTGCAGGCCTGCCTTGCCCAGATAGCTGGTGCAAATGCAGAGAGGGGTTCGGGGGTTTTGCTGAGTAGTGGAGGGCACGGTGCAATTCTCCTAGGATCACATCTCCTTCCCTTCGGGATATCCACCTCATCAGCCTGCCCTGGGGCCTCCCCCCCCTCAGCCATCTCCAGTATGGGAGTCTGACAGGTGGTTGCAACTGCCTTCGAGGCGTGCTTGGTGGTCTCTGCTGAGCATTCAAGGCGTCTGAATGCATTTTCCAGATAGAGCGGTTGGCACAAGGTAGATCCCAACCCCGTCAGCAGCAGCATCGCATCCCTGCCCAGCCGTGTGGCTGTCTGGGTGACTCAGCCTCTCAGGGGACCTGTGGGCCTGGCTGTCCCGTCCAGGGCAGCACCTTGCGGCTCGCACATCTGGCTTTGTCAAGACGAGGAGGAGGTCTCACACCAACTCAAATTGAACTGGATTGTGAACACACATGAACCTTGCAACCAAATTTCATGAAGACTTCCCATCTCTTGGGACAAACATGGGGGAATATCGGGAAAAAAAAATATCAGTTTTGGAAGACACTGCTTTCAGCAGGGAAAAGGTTTCGTACATCTTTTTGTGCTGCGTTAGCAGCTTGGGGTCATACCCATCGTTCCAGCTAAGCCTGGGCACTGACCTGTTTCTGTGGCTGCCTGAGGCCAGTCCTGGAAGACAACTTGCAAAACCCTGTCTCCCCCCATCCCTGCAACTGATGCTCCGGAACTGGCTGTCCTGGGAGGACTTATTTGCTCATCAGGTTGCCAAAACAGCTCAGTTTCACAATCCCGCAGATTACGTGATGCGCATGGCACAAGAGTCGCTTCCTGGCAGAGGCTTGGCTTCTCATCCTTGCTGGGCACCTGCCACGGGGCATGGAGAGAGGTTTTTGGGGTGTAGGGGAGGAGCCGTGAAAAGGGAGACTTCTCAAATAGCCAGTCCCTCGGGTGCAGGTCCTGCCTCCTCCCTGTCCTCCTCTCCTGTGGAGACGACGAGTGCACAGTATCTTTGCCACCAACATGAGGCTTGTCCTCCTGGCATGTCTCTGGGGTAAGTGAGGTGGGAATTTTGGTTTTGCTTTGCTTTTGGCTCGGCATCTCTCTGCCGATGGTTCTCCCCTTCCACTATTGCTTCTACAGCCCACGGCACAAAGCAAATGGGATATTGAAAGGAACTGAGATGCAATCGGTAGTATTTGATCTGTATCTGATAGCTGAGTGTGGACACTCGGGTCCCCTCAGACATCACTAGACAGCCACAGGAGGAGAGCTGGGTGCTGCCCCACCAATACCTTGAGAAGTGTGTCATTCAGGCACTGAATCCCAGCCCTCAGGAGCAAAGACAGCAGCACACAAGGTGGAGTTCCCTGCCCCTGTTTCTCTCCTGTGGGTTCCTAGTCTCTGGGGGTTCGTAGAATCACAGAGTGGTTTGGGTTGGAAGGGACCTTTGAGGTCATCTAGTCCAAACCCCCTGCAATGAGCATCTTCATCCGGGTCAGGTTTCTCAGAGCCCCTCCAACCTGACCTTGAATGTTTCCAGGGGTGGGGCATCTACCACCCCTCTGGGCAGCCTGTTCCTGTGAGTCACCACCCTCATTATAAAAAAGTTCTTCCCTAAATCTTCCTTTTCCCCTGCTTCAGGGATAAGGCCAGACCTGGTGGCAATGGGCAGAGGCCCTGAGTATGCTCGGTGGCTCTGGCACCTCAGGCTCCCAAGATGATATGTTACCTGAATGCAACTGGAATTTACAGAGAAAGGGGAAAACCATAAACTAACTTTAAAAGTAGCTAAAAAAACCCAAAAGGCAGATGGAAAAAAGACTTAGCTGGGCAATAACGCTAATGCTTGTCCTGGTGTCAATGTTCTGCCCTTGCCTGAAGCTGTTGGTTAGTGCTTGGGATCTTGCCCGACTGCCATATTTAGGAGCAGAAATTGTTGTTTGTGTTTAGGTCTTCTTTGCTGTTGACCATCTACAGTGGGTACAAAGTGCCCTTCTCCTGAGTTTCCAGGAAAAACAGATCCTGGCAAGTTTTCCTCAGGCTTTCCCTCTCAGCATTTACCACAGAATAGAATAGAATAGAATAGAATAGAATAGAATAGAATAGAATAGAATAGAATAGAATAGAATAGAATAGAATAGAATAGAATAGAATAGAATAGAATAGAATAGAATAGAATAGAATAGAATATGTCTGGACGCTGACTTTCAGGTGACTGAATCTGGACAAGAGGAATCCCAACTTCTCTGTTACAGTATTTTCACGTTGTCTGCCCATACAATTTTTTTTTTTCCCCAGTAGACTTGGGCTTTTTAAGCTTTTGTCTCCTTATCTGATCGCTGTAGCAAGAAAGTCCCACAGACACGCACTAGGATAGGCACAGCCCGCTGACAGCTGGCTTTGGGAGACACAACAACGATGGGCCCTAACAGAGCTCACAGAGCCTTGTCTCGTGCCTGATGTTTTCCTGTCCTGAATCTCACGAGACTCGGACTAACATCCTGTATTTCTTCTCTTTCAGCTTCCCTTGCAGGAGTCCTGCTGGCAGGTCAGTATTTGTAGTAGAGTGGTGCATGAATCAGGACACACAGCTGTCACAAAATGTCATCCAGAATGATGCTGTGTCTGAGCTGGATATTTAAATATGCTGCTCGGGGCCAAGAGACTTTGATCTGAAACCCGTTTCTGTGGCCAGTGATCTCTCTGTAAACCACATTGTCTTGATTAGTTGATGGAGAAGGCCTGACTCTTTACCTCCTGTACGCTCTGTGAGGTGCAGCTGGTACCTGCTGGAGATCTCTGGGTGAAAGGAGTGGTATGATCCCAAACAGCTGCTCATTTTAGCAAAATTAAACCATAAGTCGGGATATCCTCGATGCTGGGGTCTGATCTCCATGAGAGGGAGGAACGCCTGGTGTCCGCTTGGCTCCAAGAGCCAGTGTGGAGGTGCTCCAGGGTTTCAGACCCTGGCACTTTTCAGTCCCTGAATTTCTCCCTCTACACCCCAGATCCGTGCAAAGGGACCAGGGTATCTCGAGAGATTTCATTCATGATATTAGGGTGGTAAACAGTGTGGTGATCAGAGGTTTGGCAGCTGGAGCCAGGTTTTGAGAAGAATTGTGTGTCCTGGTGGGTTCAACAACAAGAACAGGACTGAGTGGGTCCTTTCCACTCCCGAGTGCTGATCGTCTGTAGGTCACAACACCCAGCAATTGCTGCCAATAGCTGAGCAAACCCAGCTTGGGGAAGGGGTAGAAATATCTCAGTTCTCTCCACGCTTCTTCTAGTCCTTGTAGCAGCATTTTCTGGGAGACATTGGCCTTAACTGGGGGGAAATTTACCCGGAACCTAAATGCTGGAGTAGGTTGGGGGGGGAAGCTATACCTCTCCCTTTACAGCTGAAAATGGACCCTGTGATTTGTATCTCAGAACAGACTTAGGGCCCCACAAACACCTGCAGCTTTTGGCTATTCCCAGCTCGAAACCCAGTTCCCAACCGCCAAAGGTTTGGGATGCTAGAATACCCTGGGCTTTTCTTCCCCCCGGTTTGTCAATACAGACAGACACACTGGGCAGGAGAAGCCCTCTTTCTCATTCCCTGCCTTCACCATGGGGTGTCTTCTCTCTCCAGAAGATGTAAACACAGCCAAAGTGGAGATCCGCCTGGTGGGTGGCCCCAGCCGCTGCTCTGGGAGAGTCGAGGTGCTTCACGAGGACGTCTGGGGGACTGTCTGTGATGACCACTGGGATCTACGGGAGGCAAAGGTTGTGTGCAGGCAGCTGGGCTGTGGGACAGCGCTATCAGCCCCTCGGGAGTCAAAATACGGGGCAGGGGATGGCAAAATTTGGCTCAGTGACGTGAACTGCAAAGGGACAGAAGCAAACCTCACTGAATGCGAGGCGAAGCTGTGGGGAGAGAACATCTGCAACCACGTGGAAGATGCCAGCGTGGAGTGCTCAGGTAACCTCCAAGTGTTTCCTACTTCATGCCACATTGGCCCTTCTGCCTCAAATAAGCCAGGGTGCAATTTCTGACCCGTTCAGTTAGGAGGTCAGGCGTGCTGGATGAATTTGTTCAGCTCCACCTTCCCACCCCACTGGACCCAGAGAAGTTGCATCACAGCTCCTGGACCTGGAATAACCTGCAGAGCTGGGAGAGGACACAAATAGTCCCCTCCCTCCCCTTACAGCCTCCGTGCTGATAATATTTTCCCTTCAACCTTTCTTCTTAAGCCAGAATTTAGGAAGGGAGCCTTTGACAGATGTTTGGGATGAGCAGAGACAGAGTGCATCATGTGAGATTCTGCTTTCTCTAGGTGGTCGGTGGCACAGAGACTTGTTCCAGAACTTCTCCCTCATTTGTTTTTGGCAGGAACAGAAATACCTGAGCCAGGGCCAGTCCGGCTGGTGGGAGGCCCAAACCGATGTGCTGGGAGGGTTGAGGTGCTTCATAAGGAGCTCTGGGGCAGCGTGTGCCATGACGACTGGGATCTAAATGATGCCCAAGTTGTGTGCAAGCAACTGGGCTGTGGGGATGCAGTGCTGGCCCCCATTGGAGCCAAGTTTGGACAAGGACGTGACACCATCTGGCTGGATGATGTGAACTGCACAGGGGTGGAAGCCGCTCTCTCTGAGTGCCCAGCGAGGCCATGGGGGGACCACAATTGTTACCACAAGGAAGACGCCAGTGCAATCTGTTCAGGTAATCCTGCCATTGTCCCACTTTTGCCAGCCATGCATTAGGGTGGCACAAGTTTGGACAGGGGCAAGGGCTTCCTGCAGAGCACTCTCCTCCTGAGAGTCCTGCTGGTGGCCTGGGGACCTTATGCCACAGAAGAAGGCTTCAGTCTGGGAGGTTCTGTCTTCTTTGCTCACTGGGGTGCTCTGTGGCCATTTTTCTTCAGCTCAGGCTTGATGTTAAGCCTGCCATTGTGCTTCTGGCATGTTGTACGTGGAGAAAGCTATGGAGGAGAAGCTGCTGTGTGCAGGGCAGGTGGGGATGTCTGGGGAAGAGGGGGGACACACACCAATGCACACGGACCTGAGCATCCCCCTCTGGATGTGTCTGCAGAATCGGGGATCACCGTCTCCACTTCAGTCCGCCTGGTGGGTGGCCCCAGCCGCTGCTCTGGGAGAGTCGAGGTGCTTCACAAGGACGTCTGGGGGACTGTCTGTGATGACCACTGGGATCTACGGGAGGCAAAGGTTGTGTGCAGGCAGCTGGGCTGTGGGACAGCGCTATCAGCCCCTCGGGAGTCAAAATACGGGGAAGGGAAGGGCCAGATCTGGCTGAGCGATGTGAACTGCACAGGGACAGAAGCGTCCCTCACCGAATGTGAGACGAAGGCCTGGGGAGACAACATCTGCAACCACGTGGAAGATGCGAGCGTGGAGTGCTCAGGTAACCCCCTCCATCCCCCATCCTGCACATGCTGGGCACTAGGAGGGGCAGATGCCACCACACACATGCCCCCTGCCCGAGCCAGGACTGGCCCTGAGCCCCAGTGCAGCTCTGTGGTGTCTGCTGGTGGAAACAGCAGGAGAGGGACACGGCTGTTAACTCACCCCATCCCTGAGTGCAGTGCTTGTCCCGTGACCCAGGGAGGACACATGGATGTAGCTGACCCAGGGGCAGCATTAAATCCTCTCCTACCTGAGACTGCTCCGGTCCCTTGTCCTGCCTCTGGGCTGCAGGGTGGTTACCATCAGCAGGCTCCTTGAAGCAGATGGACAGTACAGCCTGCAGCCATCCATGAAGACCAGGAAAGCTTCCTCCTGCCCTTTTCCCACAGCCCCTCTCCCAGGCTTTTCTGTCTTCCTTCCCACCCCAGAGAAGCCCTTGCCATATCCCCGGCGTGCTCAGAGACACCTGAGCCTCTGCTGAGGGGCAAGCCTTCCACAGGCTGTGGGATGTGCAGGACGTAACATTTTTTTTTTGGGTACTGGTGCAGAGGTGGACGTGCTTGAGGGGGGGCCAGTCCGGCTTGTGGATGGCCCAAACAAATGTGCTGGGAGAGTGGAGGTGCTCCACGAGAACCGGTGGGGCAGCATCTGTGATGACCACTGGGACATGAAGGACGCCGAGGTGGTGTGCAAGCAGGTGGGCTGCGGATCACCGCTGTCAGCGCCGGGAAGCGCCCGCTATCGTCGAGGGTCGGACATCATCTGGCTGGATGATGTCGAATGCAACGGGACGGAAGAGAGCATCTTCGACTGCCAGGCCAGGCCGTGGGGTGAACACAACTGCTATCACGGGGAGGACGCCAGCGTTACTTGTACAGGTAATGCATCACCATGGCGTCTGACGTGGGGTGGGGACAGGGTCAGACTCTTCTAGCAGAGCCAGCAGGCTGGACTGCAGGGTACAGCAGGAATCACAGGGCAAAGGGTCCCCCCAGCTCAGGATAATGCTGGTGGAGGCAGGGAAACGGATACAGGAGGGAGCTGTAAGGAATATAGAGCATCTGTTTAGGATGGATGTGATGGGACCAGATGGTGGGAGAGGGGCAGCAGCAGAGCAGAGGCAAACACACCGCTGACAGTTTGACTATGGGATGGATTCCTCTGTGGAGATGTTGACAAGGGGGCTTTGTGTAGGGCGAATCTCCTAAAGGGCAGAAAGAGGGAAGGTAGGGCGGGACAGGAGGTAATGACGAGCATCAGTGGCTGGGGCGAGATGCATCCGTATCGGTGCATCGTCAGTACTCAGTAAATGTCTGAGTTGGACTCTCTGAAGCTCCTGGGAGCTGAGTTCCTCACTTCTCATGCCCTGCTGGACAGGCCCTGCATGGATGAAGGGAGGAACCCTGGGGGCCTTTGGCTGGTTTCATTACGGAGGAGCAGGGCTGTAGGGTCTTGGCTTTCACCTGGGCGCTGCACAGGGTCATGCTGTCAGGACCACGTGCCGCAGTCCCCTGGCTCGAATTGTGCATTGTGCCACAGGGTTGGAGTCTGCACTTCACACAGCCCTGTCCTGGCTCCAATGGCCCCGTCCAAAGCTCAGGTGCTGTGTTCCTGACAGCTCCAAATAACCTGCAGACCTTCTTCAGGAGCAGTCTTTGTCACTTCGAGCAGGCAGTTCTGGTGTCAGGCAGTTCCTGGGAGCAGACAGTGCTTTACCTTGCTCCCTTTCTCTGCAGTTAACAAGCAACTGGAGAATCCAGAAGCACCGTGAGTGCCCGACTGGCCCCACTGGCCCATGCTCATCTTGCTGCAGAGAGACGTGCCAGCAAGATTCAGCTGAGGAGACAAAGGGCAGAGATATTGCAGAACTACCAGTCTGCCATAACGGGATCCGGGGTTTGGCAAAACCATTCTCTCTCATCCCTTGAAAGATCTACAAACTTGGTTATAACTCCAGTGATGGAAAACTCATCTCAACACGCTATTCCCACTGAAAAGCAAATATCACAAAGTATCAATAAAGTTCCCCTAAAACTGAGCATCTGGCTGTCTCATAAATTGCTCATGGGCCTCTGCTGCCTGGATACATCCCTGTCAGAGAGCTGTTGGTCCAACATGATGAATATTTATGTGAGGAATGAACATGAGCGATATTTATACCAATCAGCACCTCAGATCTGCAGAGAGACATTTGCCTCCACGGACATTCAGGCCAGTAACGAGGGCAGCCATAATACCCTTGGGAAGGGTATTAAACATGGCACAACACGGGCTTGTCTCTGAAGGTTTGTCTGTCCCTCCTTAGGGGAGGACTGCCTCCCCGTACGGAACAATCCACCCCTTTTCCTCCTTCATTTCTCCCACAGACCAAAGCAGGCCCTTTACAAGTGGATATTTTCCCATTGCAGGGATGTCCAATAAGAACTTAGCCTCCAACACAGAATTTTTTTGTGATTTGTTACTTTCCAAAACATGCTTTGTGCCTGTCAGCACACCACCAATGCTCTAATCCCAATGAAGCAAAGAGGAAAGGTGCTTCGCCCAGTATTGACAACGTGCACCTCCGGGTTAGGTGGCCAACTCAAGCTAGATTTATGGGAAGGAGAGCTGGCTGGGTCCTCTCCCCCGCCTCCACCCAGACTAGTTCACCCCGTTCCAAAGTAGGTCTAAAGCAGCTCATGGCATCCTGCTTTCGGTAGATGCCCTAGCTCCGTGCAGTTCTGGGCAAAATGAGGTGAAGCTGGTGGTGATCTGACCACAACACAGAGCATCGCACAGACTCGCCAGAGCAGAAAGTTCAGGTACGTATCTGCATCGTTGGGCCAGAGCATTTAGGGGAGGAAAAGGCCAAAACCCCATGGTGCAGGGATTTCCCCACGGCTCTGCTGTGGCTGCCATTGCCCTCCTTGCATGGTGCCAGCCCAGCCCAAGGGTCTGTGGCCATGAGGGGCCCCCGGAGGGGGAGGCTGCTGCCTTTTCAGTTGAGCAGGTCTGCATACCGAAGTGCTCTGAGCTTCACCGTACGAATGAGGAAGCAAGAGGTGATGCCATCGGTTTCTGAGTTACCCAAGAGAAGACAGTGCGTTCACGCGGAGCCTTCCCTGCTCTCCCTCTCCTCTGCAAGGATCTGTGGGAGTTTGCTGGACATTCCTGGAGGAGCTCTGGATGGTTCCTTCATGAATCGCAGTTCTCACGTTCCCCGCCCAGTTGGGGCTTTAACTCTTCTGGGTGGAATATTTGCTTGGAGAGACCTCAGAAGACCCTGAGACCCTTCTCCACTAAAACTCCGTTCCCAGGTTTGTGAAGATCTTATGCAGGCAGGGAATGTGTCCACACTGAGAGATGCAGAGAAAAATGGGGAAAGCGTGGAAGATCTAACAGCTGTAAAGAAAAACATGAAGAAACATGCCAGAGGAGCTGCTGTTTCCTTGTGTGAGGAGAGGTGTTGAGTGAAATGCCCCCAAGAGCTGCTGTCTGTCTCCAGCGGTTGTCACTGAAACCTGGTGCAACAGGGCTCACAGCGGGACATCAAAACCCAGCTGACTGGGAAAGCTGCAAAGCTCTTCTTAGCTAAACCCTCAATATTAATGCAAACCTGTATCTACCAGATGATGATTTCGATGCAAGAACACAGGTGGCCCTTGCATGGCATTTTAACACTCCAAATGGCACAATCGGTTTTGGTACGGCAAGGGCAACAAATGACTTTTGGCTGGGATTTAGGTTTGGGAAGGAAAGCAGAGCCAAGATGAGAAAAGAGAGGCAAGCAGCAGAGTGGGAATAGGAAGGTTTTAGGGTCTGGTAGATGTCTCAGCTGAGCTCAGAGAAGAGGCAGCTCCTCTTCCTTCCCCCGTGTCCCTCTACAGTTCCTTCAGTCCTCTACAGCCAGCCCTCTCCATCTCTAGGGCTGTCTCTGGGCAGCTCGGTCCCATTCCTGAAGGGACTAAGACAGAGGTGCAGTCGGTGATAGAAATCCGTAGGGGTTTATTCTCCATTTGAGCGAAAGCAGATCATCATCAGATGTAGCTGCTAACAGAGAGGTGTGAGCACATCAGCGCCTCTGTAGGGCTGTACCCGTGTGTCCATATGAACCTCGTGTCAGAGCACACCCCTGCTTGTGCCACGCAGTTTATTTTACACAGTGGGATGGAGACGTCTTCACTGGTGTTCACACATACATTTACAAAACTGGTAATATGTTTTATATGTCTTTATAGACCATAAATTGTAAATACATGTGTAAGGCTGTGGTGGCTTAGGCCCTGCCGGGACCGGAGACCATGTTGCCGTTGTCCCTCCCCCACCCTCAGCCGGTCAGGCTGGAAGTGAGGCACAAACCCCGGGTTAAAATAGAAGAAATTTAATACAACAGAGTGATAAACAATCTGAACCACAACAGTAGCAATGATAACAACAGTAAACAGCAATAACAGCGAACAAGACAAAAGATCCACAGAGAAATACTGCAATGGTTACAGACAGCTCACTCGCGATGCTCCCCGCGACCAAAGCCACAAAGGAAAAGTTCCCACGCTCCCGCGCCCGGACCTGATGTCAGCATGGTATGAATAACCCGGCTGGAGATCCCTTCCCCCTCTCTGCTGGGGAAAACTTAACCCTATCCTAGCTGAACCAGGACAAAGTCATAAACACACTTCTGGTTCAAATCATCCAGGATACAGGGATACAGGTCTGCTATGTGTGGAAAGGGCTGGGCATGGTGGAAGGGCGGGGCAGGGCCCTGTTGGCACGGACAGGGCTTGTGGGTGGGTGTTGCCCTCCCAAGCCAAGCACTGGGAGTTCTCCAGCAAGAACTGGTGAAGATGAGCGAGGGGGGCGGCACACGGCAGGGTCCTGGTGACGGGAGCCTGTGGGGGTGCCTGGACAACGCAATCTGCCTGGTGGGTGCAAACGGGATCGGGAGGGGAAAGGCGGCGAATGTGGTCTGCTGAGGAGCTGGGGGAGCATCCCCAGGGCCCCCGGCACAGCAAACCCCGAGCAAGCCCAGCGAGGACACAGCAGCCCCACTTTAGCGGCGCAGGAGCTCTCTGCCAGAGAGAAAAGGCCAACACAGACAGTTGTCGCTGTGCACCTGCTGGGCTGGAGCCCTACCTGGGCTGTCTGCGTGCGTGGTTCACTGTGGCGTACGTTGTGGTGACGCTCGGCTGTTGCACACGAGGCTTTTGAGGGAAAATTAAACCATGTTATTTCGTTTGCTGGCTACGGGCCCTGCGCTAGCCTCTGGCCCTGGGCTGCAGGAGCGCTGAAGGGAGCCGTGCACTGTGGCTCACCAGGCTGGGTTAACGGGGTAACAAAACTAACAGCAGATTTGGGGGAGTACTGTGTTTCTCAGTGGTCCCTTGTTTCTTCTTCAGTGTTGCTTTCCCACAGATTAGGGTTTCAGGTTTTTTTCCCCACTTGACAAGCCCCCAAATTTTACACCAGGCATTTAGCCATGAATCATTCTTCCAGGGAAAATGTTTGCAGAAGATATTGAGAGAAAATAAAAATGTACTTGATGGGAAAAATATCTTCTTGTTGGAGGAGTGTCGCTCTCTTTAAGTGGAAAGGGCCATCAGGTGAGGCGAGACATGGGCAGGTGGACACAGATATAAAAGCGTTTTTCTCTGAGTGCATCCCTTGAGTTCTTGGTGGGAACAGCCCATGGGACTCCCCTGCCCAAGCCACCGGTACAGACCCCGCCCTGTCCACCCCATCCCTGGGGGCCCTGCTCCCTGGTTTGGCACCAGAGCTGTGCCACGACTCACCCTCTTACATCCAACGTGGGCGATGGTGGAGTCTGGTGGGGGGCAAAACCACACTGTTAGCCCTTGCTTCCCATTCTGGGGAGGGATGAGACCCACCCTGCCTTTGAACAGCAGACCCCTTGGGGTCAGGACTGAATCCTCTGTCCTGTTTCCCCCTAATTTCACCCTGCTCTTGGCAGCAGAGCAAGCTGCCCTTCCAGCTGTGGATGCAGGAACACTGGGGTTTGGCTGCGTTTCCCCCAGCCCACAGCATTTTCCCTCTTTGCCCAACCAGCAGACCCTTATCTGCTGCTTGGTGCCTGCGTGGAAAAACAAAGTCACCCCACAAACAGACCGACGGAGATGGATGGTGGGGAGCAATCCCCCTTCCCCACCCACAGCACGCCCCTGTCCTGCAGCCTGGGATGCAGAGTTAGCAAGGGGATGTTCTGCCGTCGCCCACAAATGGACCCACATCCTCAGCTGCTGACCCTGCTTTGAGGCAGAAATCATGGCAAAGTGAAAACGTAGAGAAGGAAAAGCACCAGTCCCGGGGGGGCTGGACTGCAGCCCAGGGTCGGAGTGCAGGGAAGGACCTTCCCAGGAGGTGGGTTTGGGCTGCTGTCACCTTCCTTCTGCAGGCAGAAGCTGGTCTGTGCATGCAAGGAAGAAGCAGGACACAGCACAGCCAGGAGAAATCTGCCCTTGATCAACGGGCAGTTGTTCTGCATATCCCGGTGGGACATTAGTTACTGGGACTGCACATGGATTTGGGAAAGCTCCTGCAATGAGGGAAGGGGACGGAGAGTGGGAAAGGGGGTTTGGGGCGTTTCCCTGGACTCTGTGCAGCTGCGGAGAGGGCGGCAGGGCCGGTGGCTGTGGGAGGGCAGCCGGCGGCGGCGCAGGGGGTCCCTGCAGACAGAGGAGCCCGTGGCTCACGCGGAGAGGAGAGGTGCTACTCACACTGTATCTCCATGTCGTTGGTCGCTTCCTGCTCTTGGTTGGGAAGTTGCTGCTGCCTGGAGAGGAGGGGGAAAGTGTTTTGGGGTCTGTGTCCAGGCTGTGATGGGGCCAGCTGGGTCACCCCATGGAGGATGCATCAGGTCCTTGGTTGGAATCAAGCTCAGGGCAAGCCCTGTTCCCCTCTCCCTCCACCCAGGGGAAGACACCCACAGACACAGACCCTGCTGCCCCTGGCTGAGGCCACCCCAGGGTGCCTGGGATGCCCCCAGAGCCGTCCGGGATTGCTGCTCACCTCTGGCATCTCTCTCTGCAGGCTGCTGCAAGGGAAAGAAAGGGAGAGGTGGGGGTCAGTTACTGCACAGCCCCAGCATTGCAGGTCCTGGGCTGGACGATGAAGGTGATGGACTGGACCTCCACACCTCGCTCAGGGAGGGACTTGCCCAGCCCAGCCTACACATCTGTGCATCTTGCTTCCCCGAGTGGCTTCTTCCAAGTTCTCAGCAGCTGTGGGCAGCCCAAGCGTCGAGGAGCCGTGCTTGCTCCGCTCAGGCCAGCTCGGAAGCTCCCCCCTCATCCTGGAGGGCTGGGAGCAAATGTCTGCCTGGGGCAGGGAAGTATTTGGGCTCTGCCTCCCCACTCTGGCATCCAAGCACAATCACCACTGAGGAAAGGCCCTGTCAATCTCCGCATCTTTTCACCCCCCAGGTGATAAAGGGAAGGCCTGAGAGCCACGGCTTCCAGTGAAACAGGGGGTACGGGCAGACCATCCAAAACAAGCAAGGGTCAGAGAGCAGCAGCCCTGCATCAGGGTGCAATTTTGGCCTTGAGTTTAACCCCCGATTTCCCCAAATCCCTCACCTTTTTTCACGACACAGTAGCTGACTGCAGCCAGGAGGAGGAGGAAGACAACAGCCACTCCTTGCAAGATGCCTGGGGTGAAGGTGTGAATGAGCTCAAGATGGGGAGCGGGAGGGGGGGGCAGAAGGTGTTGGGGGAGATGTCAGGGAAGTACAAGCAGAGAGCAGGACATGCCCTTAGAGACAAGATAGATCCTGTGTGATGAATACCAGCAGCCCAGCGTCCCTCAGCCCGACACTGGGGTCACTGGGTGTGCAGGGAAGGAATCGCTCATCACTCACCCATGGTCGACAGCCTTGCCTGGGAGTTGGACCCGCTGCCTGGGAGAAGAAAGGGACAGGGTGAGTCTCCATGTCCCCCAGGTGCTGCACAACCGAGCAACTGCTGGGACCCCCCCAGTCCACCATCTGTGAAGCGTTGTGGTAAATAAATCCAGGCGTTGCACTGCTCCGGCTCTGGCAGGTCTGGCAGCACCACACTCCCCTCCCCGTGGTGCTGGGGCAGCAGAGGAGCAGGAAGCCCTCCCGTGCCTGGCAGAAGTTGCCCCGGTGGCAAAGGCTGGGCTCAGCTGCACACTGGCCTCCAGCATCCCAACTGCCCGGAGACACGCCACGGGGCACGGCAGAGTCCCCAGACTCCTCTGGGTTCTGTGGAGCCCCGGAGCGGTGCCCGCCCGCCCACACCTCACCTCTGACAGCCAAGTGCTGGGGAGCGCTGAGGGCAGAGCTCCTCACCCAGCTGCTCTCGTTCCTCTGCTGGTACCCACACGTGTATGTCCCTGCACTCCCCAGGGTGACGTTCAGCCGCAGGGTGTAGCTCGTCTGCCCCTGAATGGCTTTCAGGCTGTGCTTCTCCACCCCATCCTTGCAGAAAATGATTCGGGTAGCAGGAGATGGCAGGCCAGTGGAGCAGTGAAAGAAAACCCATTCTCCTTCCCGGGCACCAGAGGTGCTCAGGGTGAGCTCAGGAGCCGGGAGGTCACCTGGGGAGGTGGCACAGGGATGCCCCAAGCAGCGTTAATGTTGCTGGGGCTGCAAAACGCCCCTGGATGTGGGAGGGAAGAGTCCCCTCTCCAGCATCCACACATGGGGAACAATGCCCCTCTCGTCCCACAGCAACCCCCGCACACCCCCCTCGCCTGCCCCATTGCTGTGCTCACATCACCTGGGGAGCTGCAGGTGTCCTGGGTGGTCATGGTGGCACCTGCATCATGGGGCAGAGAGGATTGTTTAGAGGGGCAGAGACATGCAGAGACCAACGTGCCACTGCCCAGATCCCCGCTGCCGAGTCCTTTGCTGGGCAAACACCTTCCTGCCCGTGTGGCTCCATCCTGCATCTCCTTCATCTCCCGGCTGGGCACCACCCCAAGCCCATATTGGGTGGGTTTGTGGTTCCAGGTGGATGCCTGCGGCTCCCTAAAGCACTCCAGCATCTACCAAGTCTCATTGACCTGACCTCCCTTAGAGGTGCTGGAAAAACGTGCCCTTTGCTCAGAGCTGTGCCATAGCTGGAGGAGGCAATCGCCTTCCCACCCTCATGGGAACAGCTCTGCCCCTCACTGCTGCCCGGCTGCTCCGCACGCCCTGACTCCATCCTCCCCTGTGCCCAGGACGGGCCCTGTCCTGCCCCGCTCCGCAGCCCTCCGGTCCTGAGCCCCAAGGCACAGAAATCCCCAACTCACCAAGCAGCAGCAGCAGCAGGAGGAAGGCAGGGCCAGAAGGACGCGGCCTGGCACAGCCCACCTGCCCCAGCATTTTCTGGGGGCTGCGGGAACCCCCCGTCCTTGAAGTAGTGCTTTGCTCTGAGCTGGGGACGGCGCTTCAGGAGCTGCCTGGCCTGTGGCTTGCAGCGCCTGGGACGGGTCCTGCTGCGTTTCTGTGGCCAGCAGAGCCTTTCCCACAACGAGAGGCTGTGATGAGGGGGGCCCTGCCCCAGCCCCCGCAGTGGACGCTGCAGCTGCAGAGCCCCCACTTCTATTTCCGTACGCCCAGACACCGGAGCACGAACGGTGTCTGCCTGTCCCTCAGGGGACCATCCTCCCTGTAGGGCCCTCCTGCCCCTGTCCCCGACCCGCTCGTGCCCTGGGCTGAGCCTGGCAGCTTGGCATCCCCAGCTCCCCATGGGCAGCAAACAACATCAGCCTCTCCCAGAAGGCTTCGGGTCCCAGGACGGTGATGGGAGGTGTCAGCGTGGGAGGTTTGAGGCTCTGCAGGGGAAGGTTGAGCCTGGGGTGCATGTTGGGGGTGCTGATGCTCAGACCCCATCCCCAGCTCTCCCACAGCCGGACACCGCCTCCCGCGTCTGCTAGGTGAGGGTTTTGGCCGAGTCCCTGCCCCACAGATGGGGGTGTGGGGGTGCAGGGGCCAGGCACGGCTCCCCCTTGGACCTGGCCAGGGGCCAGTGGGCTCAGCCACCCTAAGCTCGGCCCTTTCCAAGCCTGAGCATGGCTGTCTGAGGCTGCAGTGGGGCAGTGGGGAGCCCAGTGCCCCGAGCGCATCAGAGGGCAAAGGGGACAGGATGTCTCCAGGCTGTCCAGCCCCACCGGCACAGCAGCTCTATCTCTCCAGGATGAGGGTGATGAGGGGGTTGGATGCCAGGAGGAGCAGGGCCAGGGCAGAGCGCAGGATCCAGACCCAGAGGGGCAAGGCCGGCCCTGGAAGAGAGGAGGGTCACAGCGTGGACATGTCAGTTGCAGGAGGAAGGAGATGCTGGGAAGGGCTCACGAGCAATCACCCTCCCAAGTTGGGAGCACTGTCTTGTGTGAGAAAGAAATGCGGACCTTGTCGGGGTCACTGTCCTGTGCTGGGACCACCCCAGACACCGAGCAGACCCCCCGCAGCTCATGTCTCGCTTCACTGGACTCATGGGGAACCACTCAGCTCCAACAAATCTCTCCCCGCACGTGTCCCGCCAGACATTTCTCTGGGTGCTCACTAGAGAGCAGGAGCAGTAATGCAGGAAAAATCAAATGGAAAGAAAGCAGCTGTACACCCCGTTTCTGCCATTGTAATGTAGGGATGTGACACGGGGTTTGGGTCTGCTGAAAGAGAACGTGGAGCTGGTGGCGAGCACAAGCTGGTTATTGACCTCGCAAGGCATTTTCTGCTCAGACTCTGGGCATGCAAAGGAAGGTTAGGCAGCCCGTGCACAGACCTTCCTGAAATGGGATGCAACGCATCTGTCTGGAATCTGTCTGACTTCTGTTCCCCAGCCCTCCCCAAAATCCCCGTGCCCCGAGGTCTGGCAGCCCCAGCCCCTCCCGCAGACGCGCCCCTCTCCGACTCACCCAGCAGCACTGGGGCGGTGGGTAGACCCGGCACGGGCGCCCAAGCTGCCGGACCCTGCGGCACCTTCCCACCCGGCCGGCCGGGGCTGTCGGGCTCTGCTCCCTGAGCAGCTGGGGAGCAGCAGGAGAGGCTTCTGCCCCGGGGTTTGCTGCGCCTGGAAGTGACCCGCGTCTGGCTGGAGGCACCTTCCCACAAAGAGGAGCCTGAAAGTCTGTTGGTGATCCTGGGATGACCCTGCTCATCCTCTCGGGCTTTTCTCGGGGCCTGCCCCGGCTGGTTCCCCTGCTGCAGGGTGGCTGTGTGCCCTGATGTCTGCTTTTGCCAGGGGTCTGTGTGGCTCACAGCAAGCAGCCTCTCCTGCCCGCTGTTCCTTGGCAGAGCCACGTCAGGGATCACCCATCGACCCAGTTTCCCCACGGGTCCTCTCCTGCCCAGCGCTACACCTCTGACCCTGCCCTTTGGGTGTGCTCCTGGTTCTGGGAAGGCCCAACTTTCTGTCTTAAGAGCATGGGAACTAGGGCAGCAGTGGAGAAGCTGCATCTCCAAGAGGGTTTTTTGCAGGTGGAGTTGTTGGAGAGCCAGCGTGGTGACCGAGTCGAGGGGCGGTGCAGGACTCTGGCGGCAGCCTGTCTGTCTGCACGGAGGATCTGCCGGCTGGCATGGGGCTTCTGGGCTCTGGAGATGAGCAGCAGCAATGCTGGCGGAGTGGAGACAATCTGTAAACCCACCACAGGTGCCCGTGACGTACCAGCTCTAACCTGCGCGTTGCACGTGGGCAGACCTGTCTGCCTAGGAGGAGAGGGGTGGGAGCTTGGGAGCCCTCTTCCAAATGAGGGGGGCTGGAGAGGAAATGACTGGCAGAAACGTGAGTGCAGGGGGATGCTCACGGCTTTCCAAGGGGTCTTCAGGAGCCCGGCTTCTCGGGATTTCCTAGAGGACGGTGGATCTCACTGCACAGGATGGGCTCAGCTGGGCTCAGCACCAGCTCGGCTCAGCTCAGCCACTGCTCCTTGCTGCAGCTGCTGGGCCTCGAGTGACCTTGCTCTGAAAACATCCCTCCCTTCCCCATGCCCGCTCTCAGCAGCGAGGTAGTCACCTCCTGCACGCTCTGCATGCTCAGAAGTCGACCACACTCCTGCTTGCCCAGACCGCTCCTTCCTGTGCGCAGCAGCGGCTCTTATATTTAGAAACGATATTTCCCTCCCGCTCCCCAACATCAACCCACCCGCCTCTTCCGAGAGCCGCATGTCCCCACGACGCTCTCTGGGTAGAGCTGCTCTTGAAGCAGACTTGAACGCAGCAGCAGCTGCAAATCTCCAAGCCAGGGGCCAAAAGGAGGTGAGGGCGAGCCGAGGGCTGGGGGTGGACACTGGGGCGGCACTTTGCGTGGCTGTGCCCCGCCGGCGTGTTCTGGGTGCGTGGCAATGAAGACAGGCGGCACCTCCCCAGCCCGCTGCGTTTTCAGCGCAGCCCGTGAGGCTCTGCAGTGCCAGCACCCACACCCGTGCGCCTCCATCCTCACGCCGCTGCGGACACCCTGCGTGGGTGCAGGGCAGGTGACGGTGGCTGCATCTCTCACCCGGGCCCCCCCCCCCGGGCTTCTCTGCCGGTGAGGAACGTCTCGGCAGGATTTGTCGTGCCTGGAGACCTCCCTGCCCCACACCAGCACCCGGGGCCTTTGCTGAGGCCTTGCATGCGCTGGGCCTGCTCGGAGCGATGCTCCTTGGGGCTCCAGACCGGTCTAGAGTCTCCCCTTGCTCTTCCCACTTCTGGTTTGGATTTGTGGTGAAGGGTGCCGAGGCGGCCTCTGGGCAGACGTCCCAGCTGTGGCTTTCCTGTTGCCAAGGTTTGGCTCCTCTGAGTTCCCTCACTTCCCACAAGCACCTCCAAGATGAAGGCAGGAGGCGTCATCTCCTGCTCTGCGCCTCGGATGGCGAGATTGGCCCCCACCCTCCTCCCCCTTTCCTCACACACCGCCAGCAGAGATCACAGCGGCCTCCCGGCAGGTTCTGAGGTTAATTCGGTGGAACGCGGCGCCCTGGTCAGCGCTGGCGGGGTCACTATTACACACCCCGGGGTACGAGTCCTCCAAGTTGCCAAGGTGGACTTTGTGCAGGGAGATCTCCACGGCGACCCTCAGGTCAGAAACGCTGCAGTTCACGGGGTTGGAGGGGACAGGCAGTGTGAAAGTGTCCGCCGCGTACACCAGGACCCTCGTGCGCCCCAGAAATGGAGAATTGGGAATTCCCCACCACACCCAGTGGGATCCCGGGGCTGGGCAGCCTGGAGCTGGAGGGGCTGAAGCAGCAGGTCCTGGAGGGGAGCGGTGGTGAGGAGGAAAAGTGGGGGGGGGCGCTTGGGGTCTACGAGATGGTGCAGCCTCTGGGAGATGATGAGGGAGGGAG